TGTCATAAGAGGCGACTAACGGGTTTGGGTGGTGAGCGCTGGCTTGGTTGACACATGTCATCGGTTTCAAGTTGCGCAGATCGATGCTCATGCTGTTGATCACTGGATTGTGTGGTCCAGACTCGATTATTTACAGACCGCCGTCATATAGCTGGAATATTGCTGAGTGCAGCGTAAAACGAAACTCACTCACTCCAACTTTATGACGACGGACTGTAAATAAAAGCTTCTGGTCCTGATCATCAAGTGATTGTTATTGTACACATTACCAACTAAGTCGACCCGTGAAGATCCGGGTTAGAATTGGTCTCCAGCAATTCATGCTTGTCGTAAGAGGTGACTAACGGGACCGGGTTGCGTCTAATGAAGGTTTGTGTGGTTACTCCAAATGTGCGCTGACAGATTTACTCACTTCCATGAAGGAAGATAAGAATGTAACGGGGTCACCAAATTATTGTATAATGTGTTTTTGTTTTGAAAGTTGTGTCTTGTTAGTACTTACTTTTCGTAACCCGTGAAGATCCGGGTTAGAATTGATCTTCAGTAACCCCTGCTCGTCGTGAGAGGCGACTGACGGGATCGCATGGTCAGGCTCGCTGACTTACATCGAATCCCAAATACGTATGCGATGTTGATGCTGTTGATTACTGGATTGTCTGGTCGAGACTCTATTATTTACAGACCGCCGCCATATAGCTGGAATATTGCTGAGTGCGGCGTTAAACAATGAACCATGTCACCTTGACGGATCACTCCATCTGTTCGGTTGCCGCCCAAAGCATTGGTTGCTCAGGACCTCTGATTCCTCAATATTATTACTATTTATAGCTAATATAAAACCATTTTCGAAGCGAAGACTCTCTCATCGCATGTGTTGGCACATTATTTGCCTCGGTGCCAGCTGTTTGCGTTACAGGTCCATGTGCGCTTTCTGGTAAAATGAATGCTGAGTGTAAAGAAGCATACGTAAAATCATTCAGATTCTTACTGTTTCGCAACATTCCTCCAAATTAAATATATTTTCTTTTATGAAATTATCAAATGTCGAACTTTCACCAAGATTGGTTGTTGTTGTTGTTGTTTAACGCCTCACTCACCAATAATCCATTTAATCCGCGTTTGGTAAATATTCCAGTCGGGACCAGACAATAAAATGACTGATATTATGAATGACAGTTCACACCGCAGGGGCACGCTGACACGTCATCAACCACGTCATCGTTCCTTACCAGTCGATAAATTTAGGAAAGATGTTTCTTATAATATGCATATGTTGCTGGGGACAAATTCCAGTCACGATTTCCTACTGGTTTACAGGATTCTATCTTTATTTAATACTTTAAAGTGTTGTTTATATGATGGACTGGTGCTCATTAGATAAACAACATCTGACCAATACGGCGGCAATGGCTTTCAAGCAAATAATTGATTTTACCAATCATGTGACCCATGCATAGGGAGCTGCTGGGTAGCCTAGTGGTTAAAGCGTTCGCTCGTCACGTTGATGACCTGGGTTTGATTCCCCACATGGGTACAATGTGTGAAGCCCATTTCTAATGTCCCCTGCTGGACTATTGCCAAAAGCGGCGTAAAACCATATTCACTCTGGGCCCAGAACACCTGACATCCGCTATTTGCCGAGGTCAGCATAAAAGTCACTTGGGTCGGGTTTTCGGTAGACTTTTCAGCTCCCGACATATTAAGTGTCGTAAATATTGGCGCAAATCCATTACCAGAGAGAAGAGTAACATTCATTATGCATTCTGTCGAACTTTTACAGCAGCACGGAAGTCTCAGTGGTGTAATGCAGCGTAATTCGATGAGTACAGTTGTGTCTCATATGAATCGTGCTGGTATCTGGGCCCGTTCCACGAAACGAACTTAGTGCCAGGACTGTCGTAACTCTCATTAAACACACATTACACGCGGTGAGTCAACAGTCTTTGCGGTAAGACGGTGTGGCCATAAGTACACCTAACTTCATCCCCATGAAATCACTGATAGATTCGTGATATCAATCGGAACCACAGGCTTGAGGATGCGGTTCCTGGTTTTATCTTACCCCAACTGTATAGGTAGAGGTAGACTGACATTTTGTCCTGGAAATAAGGTTATCTGTCTTAAATGTATATCTTTTGTAAATAAATGAATGCTTGTTTGTTGGTTGCACAATATTCCAGCTATGAGGCGGTGGTCTGTAAATAATCGAGTCTGGACCAGACAATCCAGTGATCAACAACATGAGCATCAATCTATACAAATGACTTGTCAACCAAGTTAGCTAGTCTGACCCAATCACCTTAGTTGCCCCTTAGGACAAGCATCGGTTGCTGAAGACCAATTCTAACCTGGATCTTCACAGGCCAATGAATGAATGAATGAATGAATGAATGAATGTGCCCAGCTTTTAAGAACATGAGGCTTGCACAGTCATTCTAGACTTGAGTTTAACTCCTCTGGGATCTGGGAGACAGACTGAGGTCAATGTCTGGTCTTGACAAGGAGGTTGCTCTGACATAGCTGGAATATTGCTAGATACCTTACAAATACATATTAAAAAAATACGCACCATGCCCCTACATTTATCTGGGCTTGTGGTAAATGTTTCAAGCTGTGCAGTTCTTTCTCTTAATAAAGATTAAGAAAGAATAGATAAGAATACATGGTACCTTTTTTGTTAAAGGTCACATGCAACGTAAAACACAACTTTGCAGATTCTGATACCTTTCGGTATGGACTTACCGAAACAAAGCGTCAAAAAATGCAAACTCAACTTATAAAGTTGAAAAATAACGCGATGAAAAAAACGCGCGAAATCGGAGTTCAAACGTTTCACTAATTTTCCCCAGACTTTTCTGGGGAATACGGGTTTTAACAGCTGGGCTGCGCTCATAGCACGTGCGCAGTGAAATAGGTTCGCGCAACTTGGAATACTGGTGAAGGTTTTGGTGTGAGCTATTTTCATAATGTTTTGTTGATATCTCACAGGCGCGAACTTTTTATATGTTATGACAGTAAATTAACTGTTTATATAATTTCATTTGTCTATTTCACCACATGTTCTTCTTACCGAGTCACTTTCTCAGTTCGATACTTAAAAGCAATGTCATTATTTAGCGTTGACAGAATTTCTAACTGTGATATAGATATGTCGTTGTCACAGACAAAACTCAATGTCTTGTTTTATTGACACCTGTGTGTCTGCCTGCCTGTCTGCTAATGACGACATTCAATACACAACTGCGATCACTGACCACATGCAATTTGAACTTAACACCAATCAGGCTATACACCATAAACAAAACGCATTGATTTATGGCCCGAGTTCGGTCTCTGTCACATTATGTAATTGCACAGACAGGTAGGTGTGATACTTGAACACATGACATGTTATGATGTCTGTTGATTGCAAAATGTTATACACAAAAAATGAGCATGTATTTACAAAACCCAACATCTCTATATATACAAACACAATGAGCCGTGAAGGCGGCATCTGCTAATGAACCAGCCGTTACACTTGAGTGCACACCCACCCGCTCTGACTGGGTTCGGTATCCCGGCTGCTTCGTTTCGAGGGAAGTAAACCCAAGTACAAAATATTGCACTTTTGATTTGCGATTATACGCTTATAATTTTGTTTATTTGTTTTTTTCATAATCAGCAATGCATATTATATGTCATGAATAAGTGATCATTGTGTTTTAATTATGTTTGATTTTTTGGTTGCATGTGACCTTTTTAAGAGTGGTGCTGTTATCACTTGATGATGTTTCAGGTGGTGGCAATAACCTTTTGTTTTGGATAAAGATATGCATCTTTTTTTTAAGTAAGTGAGTGAGTGAGTTTGGTTTTATGTTCCTTTTAGCAATATTCCAGCAATATCACAGCGGGGGGACACCAGAAATGGACTTCACACATTGTACCCATGTGGGGAATCGAACCCAGGTCTTCAGCGTGATGAGCGGAACCACTTAACCACTAAGCTACCCCACTGCCAGTGAGATGTTGTATCATCATTCATGTAATTAGAAAGTGTCAAAAATCCAATAACACTGGATAATATGGGACATAGGAGGACTAGTTGTCTGAGGCACATTTCACTGTCCAGATCTGTTTTGATGATTATAGGTTCGAATCCAATATTCACGGACATCATGATCTTTGAACCCAGCTGAGCTCTACAACAGTTCTAGACAGGCCTGATACACAATATAATAGAGCTGTGTGGGCTAAAGTATTGCATGGGTTACATTCAACACCGTTATCTGTACAGGGTGCCTCTGTACAAAACAACCATAGTTCTAAGACTCCCGTAGGTCTATGTTAAGGTATGGGAATTAAGGTCACCTAAGCACTAAGACTGCCGTAAGTCTATGTTAAGGTATGGGAGTTACGGTCACCTAAGCACTAAGACTGTCGTAAGTCTATGTTAAGGTATGGGAGTTACGGTCACCTTAGCACTAAGACTGTCATAAGTCTATGTTAAGGTATGGGAGTTACGGTCACCTTAGCACTAAGACTGTCAGAAGTGTTACGGTATGGGAGTTACGGTCACCTTAGCGCTAAGACTGTCAGAAGTCCATGTTAAGGTATGGGAGTTACGATCACATTAGCTCTAAGACTGTCAGAAGTCCATGTTAAGGTATGGGAGTTACGGTCACATTAGCGCTAAGACTGTCAGAAGTCCATGTTAAGGTATGGGAGTTACGGTCACCTAAGCACTAAGACTGTCATAAGTCTATGTTAAGGTATGGGAGTTACAGTTACCTTTACGCTAAGACTGTCATAAGTCTATGTTAAGGTATGGGAGTTACGATCACATTAGCGCTAAGACTGTCATAAGTCTATGTTAAGGTATGGGAGTTACAGTTACCTTAGCCCTAAGACTCTCATAAGTCTTTGTTAAGGTATGGGAGTTAGCCACCTTAGCGCTAAGGTTGTTTTGTACAACGGCACCCAGGACTGTTCTGAGACAAAAATGAGCAACATGTACCAAGTACAATAAAAGTATATTTATTCACTCAAATAATAAAGTAGTAAGGATATTCTACAAGCCAAGGCCAAGTAACGTGGTGTCCACAATGACACAGTGTACAATGCAGTACAAAGTAGGATTATCTAAACATGTAGTCTCAGTATTGTATGGATAAATATTCAATAATAAGTCTCACATAATGCAGGATTGCCATCTGGACAGCAATACCATAATGTACAAATCTAACTTCCACTTATGTTATAGACAGTTATATTTTCACCTGTTATAAGAAGCAACTTTATGCAAGAGATGGATAGATGGATGGAAAACTGACAGTCCAAGGCACCTAATGTATCTCAGAGTGAACATTTCATTGGATATCCTCCTTGTTATAGCATGTTTGTATCGGACGTAAATGTATTAAGAGCACCATTGTGAAAGAGACATAAAAGACAACATAAGCATAAACACAACAAATCATAATTACCTCACAGCATGTCAATAGTTAAACATGATTATTTTATAGTGTTCAGCAATAGTTCACTCCCCTTATACAATTAGACACTGCTGTTGGTAAACCTATAAAGAAGTTTAATAAATTAAACAGGAATTCTTATTCTTCATGCTTAAATTGAGTAACAAAACAATTTAACTACATCTAAAATGAGTCAAGATCACAACAGAAAAACTGAAAATATGCTACCTTACTCAAGAGACTTTATGTACTGATTGGGTAGGGCATGCTACAAAACATGACATGCACGATGACATGATCATCCCTTCCTGGTAAAATCATGATGAAACAATAAAACTGAATAAACATATGCTATATCAGAATGAAAAGTACCCCCAGCTTATCAGAAAGACCTATGATATTGTGGCCAAACCTTCTGGAATTCAGTTCAAAGTTGTACTGAAACAGCACATACCATGTAGTATTGGATAAACTGTTGCATACTCATGATAATGTCCATGCATTGGGATAATATTTCAATTTTTGTTTAAAATGTGTGCACTATACTCAAGAAAATACATTACTTCCCATGATACTGGGCTGTGTTGTATTGGAATAGCACCCACGACCAATATTGAAATCATGTTAATGCATGTTGTTTTTGCCTGTTATTTGGGACAAAGATGACCACCACAGGAAAACTATATGTTTTTTGGAATAATTATCATTATTACAAGCATAATAATGTCTAAAACCTGTTCCCTGAATGTCAGACATTATCAGCAGTACATAGATATGTTCATTCTGATATAACGCATATTGTATTGCATTCTTTTTTGTTGTTTTACACCAGATTTAATAGAGGAGCCTTAACACACTGGCATCTGTACTGGCTATCAGCTGTGTGGGGAATTAAATAAATAACACTCACCATAACAATAATATACAACAGTATTGTACACAGACACTGATAATTGCCAACAAAAAGATTAAAGAATTATGTACTAGATTTTCTACCTAAGTCACAGGCAAGTATTAAAGGCAATTTGAAAAATATTAATTGACTGAACAAGGATTCCCTCTACATTGAAAATATTTTCTATGGAAACTGAATCCTTTTTTGCCTACTTGCTGTGAAGAATGGCGGCAGTTATAAGCATAGTTACAAATATCACCCATTACCATGTGATATATATGATTCATTCCAAAATGCTATTAAGTTTTCAAATTGATATATCCTTGTATATTAACCAGTAAATTATGGAATATATGTTTAACACATACATTTCACCAATTTTACAATTAACCCTCACAGCTTATAGACAGCTTCAATGGTTCAGATTTAAAAATTAACAATGAAAAGTTTTAAAAAATAGCCACATACTTGTAAAACCAATATATATTCACATTCAATTTGATATTTGTGAAAAGTTACATTCCAGCCTTACATCAATATATACAATGTACAAAGGCATGAACATGATACAAGGGAGATAATTACGACATAATCAACTATCTATATTACATGATTAACCCATTGACCGAGCAGGTAATGTTAGCTACATTGTCGGACCCAGATTCCATACAGGAAGGCCTGGCAATCTCCATCGACAATTAAATAATGGCCAGAATATATGACAATCATTTCCGTATTTTAAGCATGTGACTATCAATTCTCAGTGTTCGAGCATCACACATTTTGTCTTGACCACATCACTTTGGCAGTGTCTTTGTGACCATCCTTTACTCAACATCTACGTTGGTACCATGGACACACCTTAGATCTTTAATACCATACTTTGGTATTTCACCCAATCTGAGAAAAATTCTAAATACTGAACACTTATATCTCTCTCCAAACCGTTTTACACAACAAGTTGTGTGATATTAAACATTCATTTCAAAATTTGAAATGTAAAAAGTACCTAATGCTATTAGGTCTAAAACGTACAATTCAGAATGACAGAGCCCTTGATTATGCTAAAAGACACGAGCATGGCATCTGAACATGCCAACTGTTGGAACAAATATGACATATTCTATGTCCACAGTTGAACAGATCATTAACATCATGCCACAGAGAAATGAATAGATGTCGAGCAGCTGGAACTTGCCGTGGATTTATTATAGGTTATAATCGCCAACATGATTTTCACCTATTCAATTCCATTGCTGAAGCTGATAATTCCTGAGAATACAGAGGTGTCAGATTTCCACGTCTCCAATATTCCTGTTCACTCCTGTACAGACCTCAACAGACACTAAATTAGGTCGATAAATAAACATATCTAAATTTACATGAGGAAACTAGGTGATATGACACATCACAACATATTCCTTAGATCATTAAGACTGGATTATTATTTCCTTAGTAATTGTATCTTGTGGCTATGCTATGGTCCTTGGGTCTAGGAACTGTCTAAACAGGAACATCTGAATCTTGTACACAGGAATTTGTTTGTATCAACCGATCATATTCTTGCACTGGAATGTGAAGAAATTCATACCCTTCACTAATTCTCTCCCTTTGATAAATGTTCATAACATACCTTGAGCTGAACAAATAGCCCTTCTGTAATGAGGCACACTAAGTCATTGCTAAGTCATCAAAATCACAAACAGAAAAAACATTTTACATTTATAAGTGTTTATTGATGGTAAACCTTTATCATGTTTACAGTCTATAAAAGTAATTTTTACAACAATTTTCCAAACACTGCTGATTTGCCATTGTCTGATGGATCCATGAATCCAGAGTGATCTTCTGTAGAATCATGGATTCAAACTCAGACATAGGATGACAAGCGAAGTGCACTAACCACTAGGCTAATACACAGCCCCATTAACACAATAAAAACACTTGTCTTAGGTTTTATAATACAATAAGTCTCAATGTGCCTCATTCACTCCATCAGTGATCCTATCAGTAAAATTACAGTGGAACCTGCCATAATAAAAATAATATCAATATGCTGATAACTAGAATCCAGCTGAAGTTAATTTGCCATACATAGCACCATTACATGAGACAATATTGGATGTTAGCAGTACAACTAGGTTACTGGCACTCTGAAGATCACAAAGTTGGATGTTCCTTCTAAGAAATGTAACAATTGATACTACAGATGCCACGAGATTCATGCATCCTGAACTATTTCAACACGTCTCTAACACAATGCATACACCTAGCCTTACAGAAACAGAAAACATAAAAGTAAATGCATATAGAACAAACTAAAATGTTCAAAATTATAATAGTTTAAGAACACCATGTAAAACATATTCCACTGAACTCAAACAAGTTCCAAGCAGAGAATCTTCAAATATTACTCAACAAGTTTTCTCCTGGAACAACGAAACCTATAGACTTCTTAAAACATGATCGTAATGATTCATTATGCAACAACAATATTCTGCTACAAATAAATTCCACGGATTTACAAGATCAGAATCTTCAAAAATGAGTGAAAATGAAGTTACACAACCAAATCAAAGCTAATAATCTCTCTATAAACAGAACAGCAATAACATACATCAAGCCTGTGCATGCAGTCTCATAGTGTCGAAAGCACAAAGCTTGATACAAGTTCTTGTGGAGGAGATTATCTTGAAGTCTGTCCTCCTCATCACAGTGACAACAAGCCTACCAATGAAAACGAGCAAAGAGCAACCTAACTATGGAAAATGCCCACACTTAACCCATACAAGACGCCATTCCTAGAAAGTGTGCATCATTATGCTTAAAACATAAAAACATGTTTTCTGTGGAACCAAACACAATAAATCATAAGGCAATAGATTGAGTGCACAGTTTGTTATGATTTCGTTGTAAATGTGGTGGCTTTTAGTGATTTTGCACACATTATGGAGACTGTCTTGCTTGGATTTTGTATTGCTGTATCCAGCTCTATGCTGGATTTCTTTGGTAGGCCTGACCAAGCACGAGATCAGTGAAGAGTGCTCTGTCCACGCGGCACTGCAGTGTATACAACTTACATTGCTGGTGAGAGAAGCAGGTTTATCATGTGTTGCTCATATAACATAAGTCTTCTTACACACAGCATCACATTAATAAAAGACATTGTTCATTGCATTTGGAGGTTTCAGATCGCTGTTTCCTGTTGTAAGGGAGACAACTCTTGTCTCTTCTCCTTTCCCAATATGTGGCAAAAACTGTAAAAATGTTCAATCATATTTGATTCCCTATCTATTTAATAGAGACAATGTTTGTGACATGAGCAGCAGTTAGCTCAATATAAAATCCTTAAGTAAGAAAATCATTGGTAGTGATTCCCTAACAACACTTTAGGAGATTTCGATTGCAATTTCAATTAGAACTTATTTTCTTTAAATTTCAAAGTTAAAAGGTCCTGTATGACATGAACTTATTCACAGTGCCACATCTCAGTTTGTTCCGTCTTCCTTTTAACTGCAGTGTCCTATCTAGCAGACTGCAATGATGATGATCATGATGATTGTGATGATACTTGTCACCGTCAGGTGGAGCCACAACAACGACCTCTTGAACCGACGACCCTGAAATTAAAAAATGGCTACATCATCAGTACCCACAGTGGCTACAACATATCTTCATCACCTATAATATAAACAACATCACCATCTACAGTGTCGACATCATCATCTACGGTGCCTATATCATCATCTACAGTGTCTACAACATCAGTACCTAGGTATTGTGTACAGGTAGAGGGGTGACACATGCATGTTACTTACAGCTGGTTCGGGTTCCTGGATGTAGTTTTTAGGGTTGTCTCTCCTTATTGCCTCGTATTTCTTCCTTCTCTCTGCAAATCATGGAATATGGGCCATTAAAAACAAATGAAACAATCAAGTCACAATATCAACACGTGATTGGTTAAACTTTCATATTTTCAGACGATGCAGGTATGACCTCAGTACATAATCTTTGCATGATCTTATATCAAATAAGAATTCTGTACATAAATCCTTGTTCAAGAGAATTATCTAATATCCATTAAAAATTCTGTACATTTACCCTTGTTCAAAAGAATTATCTCAGTATATTGTCTGTGAGTGAGTGAGCTTAGTTTTACACCACTTTTAACAATATTCCAGCAATATCATATCGGGGGACACCACAAATGGGCTACACACATTGTACCCATGTGGGGAATCGAACCCGGGTCTTCAGCATGTCGAGCGGACGCTCTAACCATTCGGCTACCCCACTGCCCCCTTTTGATAAAGATAATAAACAGCTGTGGACTTACGATGCAACCTTGACGAGTACCAATATTACACCTGAAGTAATTCGACAATCCATTTGAGGTTCCTAATTAGGTTGCAATACATTAATGAAATATATTGAAGATATTCCTTGTTGATACCAACATATATAAGGCTTGCCAGTAATACATCACGGTTTGAGAAATAAACAAACAGTAGAATCTCGATTTCTCCGTAAAGTGTATTTCTTCAGCATGACAAGCAAACACTTTAACCACTAGGCTACCCCACCCCACATATATTTTCTGTGGATGAATTGACATCTTTTAAGAGTTCTGGGCCTAGATTTTCAAACTCTCTTAGCTCTAAGATAGTCGTAAGTGCCATACATTAACATTAACTTATGACTATCTTAGCACTAAGACAGCTTCAAAATCTAGGCCCTGGACACTAAAACCCTCTAGCATGACCTCACTTAGTCCAGTTTCTTTACTCACCCTTGTTCTTCTTGTGGGTGCAGCACTGGTGGACCTCAAGGGTGACCTCAATGATGAGATGGAAGATGATCCAGAACACCATGATCCAGGTAGCCCACCAGGGGATCATGGCCTTGCCGAAGTCCATTCCAATGAAGATGTTGGGAACTGCAACATGAACAGCAGGTGTTACAGCTTGGGAGAAACTATACAGCCAGGCACAGATACAGTGAGTGAGATGGGTTTATCACTGATTTGAACAGTGTTACAGGATCATGGCCTCCCAGCTTGTAACAAGAGGAAAGCTCAAAGTAAACCACTTCAGTGAAATACCTGGCAAAGAAAGGTGATGGCAACGCTTGAAACTTAATCAGGGCTAACTAGGATTCAGACAACAACCACAGCCAATGCCTACACTTTAGACAACTTGGCTACCAATACCACAAGATTTATTCCAACTTGCTGGAGCTACCAAATGACATGAATCTAATGCCCTAAAGTCAAGTCTTGCAGGATGAACTTGTCCATTTCATATTTCTATTTCAGAAATGATACACACATCAAGAAGATGATTAGCCCTCTTACTTATTCAGTGATAACAGACATACAGACCATTCTGGAATCATAATGTACCATAACAATATTCATGACCATAACACACTGACTTACTGGCAAGGATGTTGGCAATGGTTCCAAACGCCCAGTGGAACCAGTTGAAGACAGGTCGACAACGGTTGTCTTCCGATGGGCGGAACAGGGCAATGATTGGCTGCAAATAAAAAACATTTACATAATACATGACAAGGAGTAAACCCAATACCACATAGACACACTCAAAGTCAAAGTGCATTAGTACCCTTGTTAAGGGATTACTATGTTCTCAACTCCCTGGGCAGAATACAATCCAAACTACTTTTTAAGCAACTATTAGGTCATTACTATCAAATTCTACAGGGTACTCATTTAGCACCTGATTACCATAGACAACTTATGATGAAAGACATTTGTGCAGTGAGTGAGTGAGTGAGTGAGTGAGTGAGTGAGTGAGTGAGTGAGTGAGTGAGTGAGTGAGTGAGTGAGTGAGTGAGTGAATTTAATTTTACGTCACAATTACAATTTTTATTACAAAGAAGAATATTACCAGTAGACAGTTGTTTCATTAGATGGTGAATGATGAAAAGAATACCATTTCATCGATGATAAGAATTACAGAACTAGAATGAATTGTTAGTGTTGCTTCAAAGAGTGAGTGAGTGAGTTTAGTTTTACGCTGCACTCAGCAATATTTCAGCTATAAGGCAGTGGTCTGTAAATAATAGAGTCTTGACCCAACAATCCAGTGATCAACAGCATGAGCACCGATCTATGTATATGGGATACAATGACATGTGTCAATCAAGTCAGCGACCCTGACCCTGTTAGTCGCCTCTTAAGAAATGCATGGGTTACTGAAGATCAATTCCAGCCCAGATCTTCACGGGCCTTGTGTACAGGAGAAATCATGAATGTGTGAGTGAAGCAGATTTCCAATCCATCGTCTCTGTGTCACTAGCGTTCTTCATGTCACGATATTTGTTACCCCTGAGCCATGTCGCCATATTTTTCACCTGAGCAATGTCTAGGAGCACATACCACCACATTGTGTGTGTGTGTGTGTGTGTGTGTGTACTATGCTATAATACTGCATCATTAATTTCTGAATATTATACAAATGAAATGTTGTATGGACAGATATACTCACATTTATCAAAATACAGATGAATATAATTATTCCTAGAATAGGATGGGCCCTCTGAGGTAGGTCTGGTGTCTGGAGAAAAAAGAACATTTATCATAATGATTATGAAAACAATTTGCAATACATCTGTGCTATATCTGTGCTATATCATGCACATATGTAAAACCTTCCCAGAAAGGCAAGTCTAGGGTAGCTGAAACTATTCCTCCCTAGAGCTGCCAAAGGACTCAAATAATGGGAACCAAGAACTTATCCTCCCTGAGAGCTCCTAAGGGGAGACAATCAAAGTGTATGGTACCCTATAGTTCCCTGGTACCCATGACCAGTCTAAGCCTGTACTCACCAGACTCCAGCCGCCTGCTTCCACAAAGATGAGGATGATGGCAATGATCACCACAAGGAAGGCCAAGGCCATCAGGTTGAAATGGACCTAAACACACCAATGCAAACATAGAATTAATGTAATAATAATAATAATAATAATAATAATAATAAATGCACATTTATAATGCGCCCCTTCCACACCCTAAGGCATGCTCAAAGCGCTACAGAATATTTACACTGGAGTATTTACAGATGAAGTTATACATAATATACTGAGAAAAGGTGGGTTTTAAGTCTGGACTTAAAAACGTCAATTGTGTCAGAGCTTTTTAAGGCACATGGGAGAGAGTTCCAAAGTACAGGTGCAGAGTAAGAGAATGATCGGTGTCCAAAGGATTTCAGTTTGTAGGATGGGATGACCAGTCGATTTTGTGTGTTTGAGCCCAAGTTGCGTGCGGGGACATATTGATGTAGGAGTTCAGGTGTACATATAAATTGAACCACTTTTATCACTCTTTGCTTATATTTGACATCCTGGTTCCCAAAAAGGGCATCTTTATGAAAGAAATATTTGTGGACCTGATAAATACTATGATCAGTAGAATATTCAAACAGGAAATTGTTTATGTATTTGGCATTAAACAATTTGTCTTTTTATCAGCATGCCTTCATTTGAGAGTAAAAACGACAAAAAATGGTTCATGAAATGGCACACATTCTATCCGATTATTGTGAACATGATGAATACGGTATCAGTTCACCATGGTATATTTTAGATACTGACCACAAACCAGTAGCGCTGCTCAAAGAACCTCTTGTTGGGCCACATCGGCTTGTAGTACTTGGTCAGCAACAGAGCAATGGAGGAACAGAACACGAAGGCAAAGATCATCAGGCAGCCTGGAGAGGATGAAGGTTGTTATAGAACTCCATAAATCCTCATCAATACCACTGGACAATCTACAGACTACTGTCACATTACTGAATGTTACTGCAACATGTTCCTCTTTACAAAGTATATTGAAAGAACTGCAGTATCTAATGAGGCTGAAAACGTTTATGAATCCTATAAGGTTTGCAGATATAGACAGATGTTCTTTGAAGAAGACCCATGAAGATCCGGGTTAGAATATTGATCTTCAGTAACCATGCTTGTCATAAGAGGCGACTAACGGGATGGGGTGGTCAGGCTCGCTGGCTTGGTTGACACATGTCATCGGTTCCCAATTGCGTAGATCGATGCTCATGCTGTTGATCACTGGATTGTCTCGTTCAGACTCTATTATTTACAGACCGCCACCATATAGCTGGAATATTGCTGAGTGCAGCGTAAAACTAAACTCACTCACTCACTCTTTGAAGCAACACTAACAATTCATTCTAGTTCTGTAATTCTTATCATCGATGAAATGGTATTCTTTTCATCATTCACCATCTAATGGAACAACTGTCTACTGGTAATATTCTTCTTTGTAATCTATCAAAGACATGTGACAATATTTTTGTGATTTATTAAGGCTGGTTGAGCACTATTTTAAATAGTATCACAGTTAAATTACAGCCTGATGAGGGGGGACATAACATTTCTTGAACATTTACGTATACCACTTTTAGAAACCCACAAGCATGGTTAAGGTGCTTTGAAAATGTAAACATGAGCACAAATCTTGGCTTTAAACCCATGATCACAGGTTTCTCGCACGGCTAAGGGAAGCAACTCTGCACAGCCAATTGCAGCAGCTATGCTGTTTGGGCCACCCTTGCCCCAATTATATCGAATAGACATCCTGGCACTCACCATGGGCCTTGACCAGGGGATACCTGGCTCTGTCATGGACATCAGGCATAGTCTGCAGGGACACCTTGTAAGGGGAGACAACTGGCAGCTGATGTTCCAACAAGCCATGGCGAATCTTATTTCCTGAAAAATGGTCATTATTTGTCGAGTTGTAAAATTATCCTTCCACCTCATACCACAGGATGCATCAGAGAACTGCCAGTTCTTCAGATGTAAACATTCATCACAATTTACAAATGAGACTGGCAAAGCACTAATGATAAGAACTAGAAAAAGTTTATTGTTTATTACCAAAGATATTAGGTATTTACAGTTCTTGGAAGGTAGGTACCATGTATTGTAGAAGATCTAGGCATATTATATGTTACTAGAGCTAAAACAACCCAAATATTATAACAATAACATCATTTCATATCTGTAGTACTACTCATACACCTTAATCTCGACCGCCTCCGTGGTGTAGTGGTTAGAGCGTCCGCCCGGAGTGTGGAAGGTCGCGGGTTCAATCCCCGACCGTGTCATACCAAAAGATGTTAAAATATGGTACTTTTGGTCCCTGCCTGGCTCTCGGCATTAATGGGTACAACAAGGACTGGTCGGCTCGGAGTCAGTATAATGTGTCTGAGTGGGGTATTCATGCTTCACTGCGGCATGGTATCTCAGTGGGCTAGTACTATAAAACCAGCTTGAGTCTGGGCTAGTACAAGCAGCCGCACATACACATACACACGCATGCACGTCATCATATGAGCGAAATATTCTCAAGCATGACGTTAAACCCAATTCCACCACCACCACCACCTTAACCTCCTGTGGAGATTGTTTACCTTGTACAGCATTTCCTTTAGCCAGAATGATATGCCATTTGTTGCCTGTGAGGGCAACAATTCGACGAGAATTGTCCTTAGTGTATTTCTTAATCTGGAAGCGACAGCGTATACGTCCATTGAAGTGGGAGCCCTCCTGGAACACCACTGCCTTGTCGGTCAGATACTGCAACAACAAGTCAACATGGATACACATACAGGAGTGAGTCAGTGAGTTTAGTTTTACGCTGCACTCAGCAATATTCCAGCTATAGACCAGACAATCCAGTGATCAACAGCATGAGCATTGATCTGCGCAATTGGGAACCGATGACATGTGTCAACCAAGTCAGCGAGCCTGACCACCCGATCCCGTTAGTCGCCTCTTATGACAAGCATAGTCGCCTTTTGTGGCAAGCATGGGTTGCTGAAGACCTATTCTACCCTGGATCTTCACGGGGTCTCCATACAGGAAGTCCTCAACATACAAAAGTATAGTCCCTTGAAAATGCATGATTCTATCAACAAACTTGAGTGAATGTGCTTCACATTGAGATATCTTGAATTTGTAACTTTATCTTTTATAGGTAGAGCAGTGGACTCGAGCCAACAACCATCAAATGAGGTTCAAAAGCGGCAGCAAAAAAGAGGTGAGAATATAAAGAGGAGTTTAAAATGTATAGTTCCCTTGAAACTGAATGATTCTTTCAACAAACTTGAATGATTAATTCACATGCAGACATCTTGTGGATTCTAACCGAAAACCATCAGAAAGTGTTTAAAAAGCGGCAGGATAGGTTACCCATTTCCCTCTGTCTAAGGAGCAACTGATTTACTTGTTTGTGTCAACTGTGTGACAGTGGTGTGTAAATACTCATGAGTTTCGGCTAGTGAAACTGGAATGTGACATGCATCAATCCAATCAAAGTACCATTACCTTTAGATGCCTCTTACTACAAGCACAGATCATTTCTACACCAGGGTCTAGATTTTGTAGCTCTCTTACCACTAAGATAGTTGTAAGTTAATGTTAATGACTATCTTAGCACTAAGAGAGCTTCGAAAATCTAGACCAGATCTTTACTGGATAAGGGGCTTTGGGGTTGCCTAGTGGTTAAAGTGTTGGCTCGTCACGCAGAAGACCCGGGTTCGATTTCCCACATGGGCACACTGTGTGAAGCCCATTTCTGGTGTCCCCCGCCGTGATATTGCTGGAATATTGCTAAAAGCGGCGTAAAACCATATTCACTCACTCACTCACTTTACTGGATGACCTGATTGAACCTCCAGCATGACTAGCACCATGAGGAGCTTGTTATTTACCTGTGGCAGCTTCCTGTTCTGCTTCTTGCCAGGTTCATTGTAGGACAGGGACACCTTGGTCTGGTGAGTCTCTGAGTTGTGTATACAGTCCATCACCATGTCGTCACCCTGACAACAGAAACATCATCTTGTCTTACATTTAATTCCTACTATAGAATCCGATTTGACAACACTTTCTGACTGTATCAAAAGCAGAAACATTGAGCATCAGACAGTGCACCAGTTTTTCTAAAGTCATGTCCAAGAAACCTAAATGTTTAGTTTCCTTGTACAGTATCCTAATCAATTAGGTAAACAAAACTGATGGTCTGGAAGCTGTTAAATCTAAGTTAGATGTTTTTCAACCTATTAACTGAAAGGGCTAAAAGCTGTTCAAGTGCTTGATCTAAGTTAGATTTATTTTTCACAACCAAAAGTTCATTTTAACTGACCAGGGTAAACAATGCCTTAAAACCAAGGACATAAAAGGACATACCATGTATGTGTCGTGCCAGAGAGAGAGCCAAGGACATACCATGTATGTGTCATTAGAGAGAGCCAAGGACATACCAAGGTCATACCATGTATGGACATACCATGTATTTGTCGTTAGAGAGAGCCAAGGAGACCCATCTGTCATCCAGGCCATCAGTGTGAGCGCCGACCTCGAAGGTGATGTGGGTGCCGTGATCCTCCCACGTGGCAATGTATTCACAGTACAACTCCCAGCAGCCATGGGGGAAGCGGTAGCAACCCTTCTGCTTTCCACAGTGAGCAGAGTTGATGGGATCGATGATCTGAAAATGTGATATCAATGTGGGGTTAACGAACATTTTCATCGAGTGAGTGAGTCGGTTGGGGTCTCACTTTCACCAATATTGCAGAGGTTTGTTTGCATCTTGTTTATGCCAAACACACCAACATTTCAGCTAATGATCCATCGACATAACGATGTAAAGATCATACCGGAGTTCAATATGGTGCTACAGAAATGTGCTTAGTATTTAAATGTTAATTAACATTTCTGATACTGCAACCTTTTCTTTGTTTGTTTCTTACTTAATGTTGCACTCTGCAATATTCCAGATATGTGTTGTCAGTCTATAAAAAATATAGCCGTGACCCTACAATCCAGTGACTCAAGACAGGAAGGGAAGTAACTGTGAATACTCAAGCCATTCCAAAACCAGAGTATCAAGACATAGAGGGAGGTAACTCTTGAATATATACGCGACACTTTGTCTCAATTGGCACTTAAAAGCTGCAGCATCAACAAAGACATAGCTGACTAAGTATTCCACCTTCATTATCTTAATGTGATGGGGTGGTGGGGTAGTCTAGTGGTTAAAGCATTGGCTCGTCACGCTGAAGACCGGGTTCTATTCCCCACATGGGTACAATGTGTGCAGCCCATTTCTGGTGTCCCCTGCCGTGATATTGCTGGCATATTGCTAAAAGCGGCGTAAAAACAAACTCACTGAATGCGATGTTTCAACAAGGTGCTAAAGTACTGTCGGAAATAGAAAAATACTGTTTTTAGGCTGTTACTCTGTATCCCTAAAATTTACACAATTGCAAATAGTATATGTCGAAATAACCCACATCGGCCTAACTGAGCGTTCAGTAGGATGCGTAATAGGATATCCAGAAAAGCATGTTTACTCGTAAAATCAAGCAAAACTTAGAAAACATAAGAATAGCTGCTGAAAACAATAGATCAGACTATAGATGGCAATTAGGTGGCTCAGCCAGGTATGACGACGGACCGTCGACTCACCTGGCATGAAATGCATGTGCTGCATAGAGGCACAAGGGGTCATCTCAAAGGCATTTTATGCTTATTTATGTGCGTTGTATATGTCTCATCTATTGATTAACATCTTACCTGTCTTTCTTTCATAAAGTTTATGTTGAGATATGTAAAAGAGTATGATACCCATAGAAAAGCTTAAATTAGCCATCGTATTAAATGTCTAAAAAAATATAGGTGACATGACCACCCGAAGACCGACAGGACTGGATATTATTTGTAAATTGTTATGACATGCTGTTTACTTCCCCAGTTTTATTCCCCTGAAGGATTATCTCTTCTTAGCGGATATCTCTATCCCCTAGACCGACCCCCACCACCGTCTGCGACACCCATCGTCCTAGCTTTGCTTTTGAGACGACCCCTCCTACCTGTTTCTTTTTGTAGTGATAGTGCGGCTCCATGGTAGCTACTTCCTTAATAGTTTCAGTCTTAAAGTTTTTTGGTTTTTTTACGTCAGTTATAGTTTATAATTAAGCTATTTTTAATTTCCAAATGGGCATTTATAAAGTTTCCTTTGTAATACAATATCATCGCACCCTAATTGGCATAAAGCCATTGTCTGTTCCAAATATGTGTTGCTTTCGACTTAGAAAAAACTGCATTGCTCATTTCTGCACTAATCTCTCCTCAGTAAAGTCCTTTTTCTACGTTTCCTATCTCCCTACCACCGAGAATGTAGTTAGGCCGAACTTAGTTTAACAGATATTTCACACTTTCACATATTAACTAACTTGTAGATATAAATGTGAAATAACAGTGTTTTTCTATTTCCGACAATACTTTAGTACATTCATTATGGTTACCAAGGAAATGAAAGCCAAAGACACTTTGGTTCAACAGTCTTCTCAAGGTTACAAGAAATATGAACACTGAGTGCACCTACTTGAGGCAGAGGAGGTTTAGTTGTAGGTGGCTCAGCTTTTGGGTCGATGATCATCTGGGACTTTTCTGTGGCCCAGTATGTATCATCGTCAACAACAAACGTTGCCCTGTAACAATACAACATGGCACAAGAGGAATTAGCCTGGGCACAACTAATTTAACAGCACAAATTATTTCTGAAGAAAAACATATAACTAGTTCAATGACGAGAAATGGGGTCCTCCGTACGCATTCAAAGTCATCCTCATACACATCAGCATTATCAACATCATCTTCTCCATCAACTTAGAATCTCTTAGAAACAAAATTCAAACTTAATTCACACATCACTTCTTTGAGTGGCATTTAGAAGCTGGCATGATGAACTGGAACGATTTTATATGGATAGACAACTTCTTTCCTGCAATGGATGCATTGTTGTATATCCATATGCAATTGTTCCTGTTAATTCACACAGACCAAGACAAGTGTCAAGCTCAAGGTCAAAATCTGTACCTGAATTCAAGATGGCCGTATCTCTCCGGGGAAGTCCATGCCAGTTTTACATTCCTCTTGGCATCAAGGCTGGTGCTTCTCAGAGCTTCACCCTGAAATCAATCACACCCAACACTTCATACTCATGAATACACAAGAGTGTTGGGAATTGGTTGAAATCTCACAATTGATGATTGCTTCATTACCAACGAACAATCATCGAAAAAAATTGGTTAGCGTCATTTTTCAGATTTTCCTATCCAGGTAGCTATTGCAGATATGTATAACATGATGGAACTTGCTACTTTAAAGTGATGACTAATATATCAAATACATAAACTTCCTTGAGTCTTAGAGAAATATTCAGTCATGGCTTTTCAGTTAGTGAAGTGAGTTTTCTAAGAATTAAACACGTTTTCAGTTCCTGACAACTTCTAAGATATGTTCCATTGTCAAGTTTTTCAAAGACTAAAACAGTAGTTCCCAAATCATTTATGTTCGATTATGAGAAAATGTGATCGATTGCTTGGTCGTTTGGTCACTGAGCCAATCTTCGATTATTTCAAGTGATTGGAACACCACTAATACACAATGCTATTTAGATACTGGTCAAACGTGACTGTGAGTTAGGTGCCTGACTCGGTGTGTGATGATTGGAATCCCTGATGGGACTCAACCCAACAAAAGTACCAGAGTCTGTACTTTACTGAGAAAGTGTAATCCCAAATATAACATTTAACAACATAATTTATTATAAACATCAGTCGGTCAATAAATGATTGCATATATTACATCATTATTATCTCTAAGGACAGCCAAAGCAATAATTGGACAAACTACCTCAAACTGTATCTCTGTGCCTCAAACCTCATTGATAACTTATTAATACCTCCAGCATTATTGATAAGCATAGTGAGTCTAGACTCTGGTACAAAAGATTCTTACCATTGGTACAATCAAAGAATCATTCGCTTCGTTTAGAATAAGGGCCAGGTAGTGAATCATTCTCAGGGCAGTAAAGCATGTTTTTGAACCCATTCATGGACACTGCAATCCACAAACATTCAGTAAAGTTCTGGCAGGTTCCAAGTGTTTTACTATAATTTAAAAATGTTTAATAATAAACTTAACTTCTTAAGTCCATGTTACAGAAAATTCGAATTTGGACGTCTCTGGCACACATGCATGCACGCATGCACACACACAAGAACACACACATGCATGCACGCAAACATCAGCCATGACATGAACAATAGTCATAGGAAAGAACTGGACGTTCTTTTAATCTGTAAGCAATACATATGAGCAATGGGAGGTAGTGACTCACATCGTCCTGGTTATTGAGGCAGTCTTTACCCACAGGGGTTCCATCTACTGCTGCCCATTTGCCCACTGCTTTCCTGGGCTGGTTCGCTGACCGGTAATCTGTGGCCCATGCCACGATCATGAAGGAGCGGAAATATGTATCCCCTTCAGTTGTTAGATTAACTGGAAACAGATGAGATAATCTTGAGTTAATCTTGCAGTAATGTGTTGACAGGTCCATAATAAGGGCTAATAGCAGGGTAACTGGAAAAAACAATTCCCACTGGCATGTTTTAAAGGTTATTTATATTCTAAATTTTCAGGTATTTTAACATTGCAACAGTTACAACTTAGTATTAACACCTCATTTAGTTACTGAATCTGATATATGGGACATACATTTACCCCTAGAGAGAGAGAGAGTCACTGAAATCAAATTTTATACAATATGTTTCTCTCTTCACTTACAGGGCTGGTAGGGTGGCCTAGTGGTTTAAGTGTTTGCTCTTCACGCTGAAGACCCGGGTTTGATTCCCCACATGGGTACAATGTGTGAAGCCCAATTCTGGTGTCCCCCGCCCTGATTTTGCTAGAATATTGCTAAAAGCAGCAAAAACTAAACTCACTCACTCACTTTCTTTATTTACAGTTAGCTAGGTTTACCATTTTATAACTTAGATTGGTTTGGATTTAGCAAAATACATGTTCCATAGTTTAAATACTTAGAGAGCCTAACAAATTAACCTACCTTTGATTTCTTCCAGGGGAGCGTAATAGGTCCTTGACAGGATAATCTTGAAAGGAGAGGGCAACCTCTGTGGGACAACATTGTCTGGGACGTTGTTTGGAAGGAGTGTCTGACAGTTACAGCAAGTTGTGGTGTCCAGGATAGGATTGTAGGCCAGCGCCACGCGCACGCCGCCACCAGCACTGCCGCACGCAACATCACGACAATCTACCTCCTACTTGTCACAATCTGGAAATAAACATGAATGAGTAAGTATGTTGTTTAATGTCAGTGGTGTTGGTATAAAGGATAGGAGCAAAAACATGGTTTCTATACACCCATGTAGAGACTCAAACCTGGATCTTCTGTATCACAAAGGTATCAACTGACCTATCCTAACATGGGATATGACAGTATCATCCAGTGAGACTAAGAGGTTAAGTCTAATTTTTCAGTGCCATGGAATTTACCTGGCTGTTGGTTGGTTATTTAAAGCAGCACAATATTCCAGCTATATGGCGATGGTCTGTAAATAATCCAGACTGGACCAGACAATCCAGTGATCAACAGCATTAGCATCGATCTATGCAACTGGGAAACGATGACATGTGTCAACCAAGTCAGCGAGCCTGACCACCAGATCCCGTTAGTTGCCTTTTATGACAAGATTACTGAAGATCAATTCTAACCCAGACCTTCACGGGCAAATTATATGGCTATACCTGTGTGTGAGTACCGAGTCCTTGTAAAAGTATGGGGGGTCATGGTAATGACAGTATGAGCACAAAGGGTCAGTGCTCATAACAGGTGGCACCCCTTACTAAGTTTCAACTCTGTATTATTTAGTAAAATATCTCAAAATGACAATGATGACATTTCATGTATGTGTATTTAAACTTCTTTCATTTTACATCTTATCATAACATCTTTGAGTGGCATTTTAGATGCTTGGAAGTACAAACTTTACAAACTTTATGGAAACAACATCTTTTAAGTTGTTTTTTCATGAGTGAGATGTTTCGATACAGATGCTTGTACCATTGTCACTTTGATGATGGTTAATGGTGAAAAATGTTTTCACATTTACAGAAATGGCAGCGAGAGTCTTACAAAAGAGTGAAATTGTTAACAAACATAAACTGTAAAACGTAACATACATAACCAGTTAATCATTTCCATATCGTCCTGATCATGCCTCTGCCAAACCTTTAAACACAGGGTTTGTAAGACTGCTAGATCAACATCTTGAAATCTGCTTAGCAAACAATGTTATGCACATGTCATATCTGATCCATTCCCAAAGAAATGTCAAAGAAACACATCTCAGTGGGCAATGCGGTTGACAGAGTTTCATAAATATATTTTCAATAATTTTGCTGAAACATATACACTAGTCCAAAGAGCTGGTTTGAACTGAATTTGTTTAGTTTTCAATACTTCAGAGTCCCTCATGTTGGACAGGATGTGCTACAAATGTTATAGGGTGAGGAGACAACTAGTGTCAAATGTCACAACCATGGACACCTGCATCCCCATTCAAAAGAACAGCCTAAAACATAAATTTCATCAAACTGGGGAGGGGAAATTTTATGGATGTCAACTTCTGTAATATGAGATTTGATGTTTCAGTGATTTATTGAGCATACATTTGGCACATTTATGTGTATGACTTCTAATGTCATTCAAAGACTTTCCAAACAAAATTCTTCTTTCTTCTTCCTGTCTGCACCCTTTTCTAAACATTTTACTCCTTGCATGTTCTCACCAAATATTTTAGTAATAGTTTCCATGTTATACAGATTAAGATATAAAATGCAGCAGAGAGGGTCCGGGTGACCCTGCACAATGTTATATAATAACACCAGACTATATAAATGAACTGGTACCAGGTAGAGTTGCTGAGCTGAGTAATCATTACCTTAGAAACCGATCGTTTCTACAAATGTAACATGAATTCCAATCTGCAAATCTGTTTCACTTTGGTGCCACTACCTCACAAGAAGTCATATACTACTTAACATTTGCTAAGGTGAGGTGAGGTGAAGTTGGGTTTTACGTCGTGCTTGAGAATATTTCGCTCATATGACGACATGCATGCGTGTGTATGTGTGGCTGCTTGTACTAGCCCAGACTTAAACTGGTTTTATAGTGCTATCTCACTGAGATACCATGCCGCAGTGAAGCATGAATACCCCACTCAGACATATTATACTGACTCCTAGCCGACCAGTCCTTGTTGTACCCATTAATGCCGAACGCACCAGGCAGGGACCAAAAAGTACCATATTTTAACGTCTTTTGGTATGACGGTCGGGGAATCAAACCGCGACCTTCCGCTCTCCGGGCAGACGCTCTAACCACAACACCACGGAGGCGGTTCAATTGCTAAGGACCGAAATAGGCATCTTTAGTCAGAGGTGTGCACAAATATAAAATATATAAGCAACACACTGAAACTGTGTTACAAAAGTGTGCAAGAACAAGCTCCTGGACAAAGATATTTGACAAACTGGTTGTAAACAGGCTCATTTTATTGTCACAAGAAGTATGCTACATGGTGCATTCTTTATTTCACTTAAAACATATTCTTTCCATCAAGTTAACATGCTATAGTGGTCTGGGAGAACAGATTCATTATTTTTAGCTTTGATGAGCTTCCCAAAACACTGCCTGAATTTAAATTACCACAAGAATCAATACAGACGTAATCAGGCAGCTAACTTGAGGGTAATGGCTTTTCAGTTCCCAAATGAAATCTCAAAATGGGATTTTAGAGTAATCAATATGTCTACAGATGTAAATTTAGGCCAGGAAACAAGTCAATTTATAGTAATTATAGTGAGCTGAATACTGTAGTGCACTCACACGGAATGATCTCAGCACAATGACGATATAACTCCCTGTTTGTTTGTTTTTACGACACACTCAGGAGTATTCCAGCTATATACCAGACAACCCTGTGATCAACAGCATGAGCACTGACCTACAGAAATATAATATGATGACTTGCATATACAAGTCAGTGAGCCTGGCCACCCGATCCCATTAGTCGCTACGACAAGCATGGGTTGCTGAAGACAGGGCTATGACTGTCTTAAGTCTATGTTACAAAGTGGGAGTTGTGGGAGATTATCATTGTGCTAAGATCTCTTCATGGAATGGGGGAGGTGAGGTAGCCTAGTGGTTAAAGTGTTTGCTTGTCACGCTGAAGACTTGGGTTCGATTCCCACATGGGTACAATGTGTGAAGCCATGTCTGGTGTCCCCCCACCATGATATTACTGGAATATTGCTAAAAGCGGTGTAAAATCAACTCTATATTAACTTACATCACATAACAATTGATCACTGGATTACGTAACACTAATTTTATCAATTTTAATTGTCCTTTTGATCATGCAGACTGAAACTATGTTTCACTCCAACATCAGTCATGTTGATCACAGCATACTGATCATTTACAATGGGTGAAGTTGAAGTAATATACTCCAGTTGTCCGAGACTGGACACAACTGCAAAATGAAGGAATACCTAGGTGCCAAGCCCTTACTTTGCAACAACCAAAACTTCTGCTCAGCAAAATTCGACATAATGGAGTTTAAATGTAGTATTCATTAATTCAATACACAACTAGACTTATCTTGGTAGCCAAATGAATTCAATATTACCACACCTGCCGTAATCTCTCCACTGAGTCATACCCTATAATTACTGGTGAGACCCCCTCCCCCTCCTGCTGATGATCTGCAGCCATGGTGCACTGCCATCTCACTGACTCCATCAACTGGGGATGCTGGCCATGTTGAAGCTATTAATAGCAGCAGCAGACTTCACACACATGTGGTTGTAGTGGTCATAAGGACAAACTTCCTCCACATATTCCTGCAGCAGCTTTATACCCCAGAACCACATCTTTTCTGTATATGAATATATCCTTCGACACAATTATGATACTTTCCAGAGTTTGTATTCCTTCAGACCAATATGGATTAGGTTATGGTACTTGTGTTGGTTATGGGAGCCTAGAACAGCTGTGCACAGGTGATGGTCAGTGGCCATAACCATGATAACTAGCCCATCGTTAATGATGCATGTATCCATGGTGATGAGGATCACCAGCTACACTTCATTTCACTGCTTTTCATCAGAATCATAAAATTCATCGAAGCATGAGACAATTTCTGTCCAGTTGGTGAAATCCACAAGAGATCCTTACTTCATAAAACAGTATTTTGTTTTACACATTTGACATATAATTATGCCATAAGGCATGCTCCTGATCCACCTGCAAAAGGACTTAGTGTCTAAATGTTTTAGTAGATTTGGCAGAAGATTAAATTCTAACAAACCTTGATCCATTTATACAACACATTCTATTATCAAAGTCAGTTGTCAAGATATGATCCAATTGATTAGACTATTACCCTCTATAGACTGCCATGGCACTACAGTGTCTATGTCTACAATGACAGCTTATACAAAAGCCTATATCATCATGATCATCACACACTTTACCATGTTTACTCAATAATTACATTTGCATTTTCATCCCAATATTTCAAAATTATGAGGTTGAATACATTTTATTTTTCAGTTTTTCAGCAAACGGATCAAGCACTGTATGTACTGGCAGTCAGACAAGCAGGCATGAAAATATGAATTTATTGCGGCCTAAGGCAAATTGTCCAACTTTTAAAATCTCTGCCTCATCCTTCTACCTTGTCTGTCCCACATTATTTTCCTTCTTTGTCTTGCTATGACTGATCGTAAAATATCTCATTATTGAAAACTTCAAATATTTAGCGGTAAAACTGGTTTCGAACCCGCAACCCATCGCTCTCTAGATTGGCGGTTTTATCCTATGAAGGATCGCTGTGAGGAATGAGATTGTTTGTCAGTATGAACCATGTGTTTATCACAAGACAGGTACTGCGGGCAGCGCACGTGCAGGACACGGGTAGCGCATGCAGAGCACGAGCATTGCACGTGCGGGGCAAGGTGTTGGCTGCCAGTTGACACCGGCTGTTCCATCATTTGCGGGCTGTTCCATCAATGTTGTTCTACTCGTTTCAGACTGTAAGTGATAAATTTTCAGAGCTTGTTTGAGTAATTTTTGTTGTCTTAGATGGTTTATAAGTTTGATAAAAGACTCCTCCTCGGTTTTGGTTGAGAACGTAAAACCTCAGTGTCAGGAAATTTCCTTCCCCTGAGGTTTTACATTCTCAACCAAAACCTCGGAGTCGTCTTTTATCCTACACATCTCACTGGGGCTTTTCAATTTAAAGGGGATTGTTTGCTTGTATCAAATTTATATATACCATCTACCCATCTCAAACCATTGTCTGGCCCTATTTCCAACACTGCCATCCCCACTAGTAGTCATCATGGTCATGGGTGTGAGTGTATTCTACCCTGGATCTCATGGTGTACATCCGCTACACAAGGTGTATGTTAGTCAGCACTGATTCACTGCAGGGTGCCCCCAGTCCTGGCTGCTTCACTCAACAGGAGTCTGGCATGTGTACACACTGAGACATGATAGGCTAAAGTTTCACATTGGATAAGACTACGACTTGTTCCAAGTCCATACTGACTGATAACTCCATGGTTGTGCAGTAATCACATCCTCGTAACAGGCAAGACTAAATAACAGTACAGGACAACAGTCCCCCTATAAGAGGGACATGTTCTTATTATATACATAATCTGGACATTATGACTTGAACTGATAATGAATTGGGGACTTGTGCAAGTCTAGCTAAGACTGCACTGACATTTTTACCCCCAGCTAATCAGAGATCTTCCATTAGTACTCTCTGTAGTACTGTTTTTTAATATATGAGTCAACAAGATGGAATTCTTGAAAGTCAGAGGCCCAGATAAGCTGCGTATCCGGGTAAAATACGCATAGAAAATTTCCAATTACGCATTGAAAAAATAATTGTTGCGTACCAATTACGCATTTATAATGTTAGATACGCAAAAAGTTTTAAACCAATGCGTACGGAAAAGACAGCAATTGCTATCAAGTTGTACTGTTATAGTATAGGACAAGTGTTGTACTGTCAGTAGCCTATAGGATGAGTGATTTTTTATGAAATCATTTCCATTATATTTAAGTTGGTTTTGATTAAGTATGACATAACTCAGAACATACCTGCTTAGTAAACTTACTCAATGACATATACTTAGGTGAGTAAAATGACTGAAATACGCACATATTTGAAAGCAGTGGGTAACGGAAAATGAAATACCCACTCAACATTCATAATACCCACTCCAAAAAAAATACAGTGGGTACTGTACCAACATGAGCTAAATCTTATCTGGAGCTAATGTCATACATTAGAAACTAATGGCAACAGGACTTATGGTCTTTAAGGAAGGTCTTTGTCATAATAATATAGCATTCATTGTACTTTGCTTTACTGATCTTAAGAAAGTATATCTGCAAAGACCTCAACAATAATTCAAATTACATATTTAGTGAATGATAAATTATGTTAGATCTTCATAGAAGGTGAGTTTGAAAGTATAAATGTGCTTGTGTTATGACCCCATTATTTTTCCATAAACTGTCTCCAAACTTTATGGAGGGACTATAACTTTCTCAAAAGTCAGATACACAATGTACATTGAACAATAATATTGCTGAAATATCACCACAAAACAAAATCTTCCTTGACTGTTGGCATGATAGTCTGTCTCACAGTCCCTAAACCATATCATTTAACTACAGCCTAGACTAAGGCTTAGTCTCTGAATATATATAATTTTGATAGTAACAAACAAGCCCATTTATATTGAAAAGGAGCCCTAGGGAGACCAGAGATTTGAGGAAATCTAGACTTGCTTTATTTAGGGCTTTAGCACTGCAGAGAGGGCTTGGCGGTAGGGAAATTAATGTGGTTCAGGGACTGTGAGACAGACTAACTACAGCCTAACAATACCTGCAATGCTACAGCCCTAAATGAAGCAAGTTTAGATTTTCCCAGGTTCTGAATCTCTGGTCTCCCTGGGGATCCTTTTCAATTTAATGGGTTTATTTGTTACAATCAAAATTACTTATATTCAGAGACAAAGCGTTAGTCTCAACAATTGGCATGATTGTCTTCTATCCTAAAAATCATCTTTCTTCTGAAATGTGCATGACAAGGATAAAGTCACTTATTCTCAAAATGTGGTTATGCCTGTATCAAATGAACCCTTTTTATCACATTTACACCATCAACCTTAAAAGAAATTACAAAAATCTCACATTCAACACTATGTCAAACAAGATAGAATGTCATTGCCATCTTAACTCACACAATATGCTGGAAAATCTCCACACAACAGAACATAAATGTCCCAATATTTCCATAACTAGAGCATGATAGAAAAAACTCAGAACACTTTAATTACAGTGAATTATGTTTCAATGTAACTTTGCATCAACAGCAAATTCCAGGAATTCTTCTCCAGGGACAACCTGGCATATGGTGGGATTCTTGCAACTGTTCAACAACCTGTTTATAGACTGGTACACTTTAAGAGAGAGGAGGGAAGACAGGTTCACTGGCTGATAACCTCGCTGATACAGGGGCTCTAGACTAACGCTTAGTCTCTGAAAACACTGAAATATGTAACTACATTAACATGGAACATAGCCCCAGTTTTAGATGAAGGAACCTGAGGAAAATCTAGGCTTGCTCATTTAGGGCGTGACTAAAGAATTACAGTAAGGCCAGACCAATTATATTCCTTGTTTACGGATCCAACGGTCATATTTTTTCAAGAATAAGAAAAGAAATAAAACATAATTTTCCCTGCTCAAAAAATAAAATCCTCATGTTTTTATTGGCCAAAAATGTAAACTTAAAAAAGAAATTTGTTTTGATTGTTTTTTTTACCCATATACACTTCGAAATTGCCAAAAATACAATACTTTTAGTATTTAAAAGGAATATTACTTTGACTGGTGATTTTTATATTTTATTTTTTTCCTTCCTGCCTTTAGGTATTCTGAGGACAAAAATCCATAAAACAAGAAGTGAAATTGGTCTGGCCTAAAGACTGGTCAAAGTGAAAACAATATGGTTCGAGGACTGTGGAACAGACTACACAGCCCTAGTCTGTCTGACAGTCCATGAACTACGCCTCGCCCTCCCTGCGATGCTAAAGCCCTAAATGAAGTACCCGGTAAGTCTAGATTTCCTCTGGTTCAGGTTCCCATCTCACTTGGGATCCTTTTCAACTTGAAAGGAATTACTAGTTTCTATCAGAATTATATATATTCAGAGACTAAGCGTTAATCTAACAAGTCTTCTATCTGTGTCCAACACATTAGTTAAGTTAACTATTTCTAAACTGTACAATGATGCATACTTGAACAATATGTCATATGTTACAATCATTGGTGAACAGATACATGTCCCACTGAAGTAAAGTGATACATATGTAGTATAATGGAAACCATGCATTACTCTATTAAGAAACACTTGTCATGTCGTAGTCTCACTTTTCACACTGAGGTTTCTGAGTGAGTGAGTGAGTGAGTGAGTGAGTGAGTGAGTGAGTGAGTGAGTGAGTGAGTGAGTGAAGTTTTACACCACTTCAGCAACATCACTCCACACATTGTATCCATGTAGGGAATCGAACCCTGGTCTTCAGCGTGATGAGTAAACACTTTAACCACTAGGCTACTCCACTGCCCCTAGCATGAAAGAAACTGATGTATAGGAAAACATGGACTATTTTAAATGCATAGGATTT